TTTTTTTTAGAGACAGTCTCACTTTATTGCCCTGGGTAGAATGCTGTGGCATCACAGCTCACCTCCAGCTCTTGGGCTTAGGCGATTCTCTTGCCTCAGCCTCCTGAGTAGCTGGGACTACAGGTGCTTGCCACAACGCTCCACTGTTTTTTGTGCAGTATATTGGGCCTGTGCCCTCCTCACTGAGCCACAGGCACTGCCCAAGACTGTCTCATTCTAATGAACTATTATAGCCATGTACTGAGGTTTTGTTTTTTCTTTTTTAGGCAGAGTCTCAAGCTGTCACCCTGGGTAGAGTGCTCTAGTGTCATAGCTCACAGCAACCTCCAACTCAGGGTCAAGTGATCCTCTTGCCTCAGTTTTTCTATTTTTAGTAGAGATGGGGGGGGGTGTCTTCATTTTTGCTCACGCTAGTCTTGAACTTGTGAGCTTAAGCAATCCACCAGCTTTGGCCTCCCAGAGTGGTAGGATTACAGGCGTGAGCCACCACATCGGCTAGGGGTTTTTTGTTTGTTTGTTTATTTGTTTGTGACAGTCTCACTCTGTTGCCCCGGGTAGAATGCCTTAGCATCCTAACTCAGAAACCTCAAACTCTTGGGCTCAAGTGATCCTCTTGCCCCAGCCTCCCAAGTTGCTGGAGCTGTGTGCACCACAACATTGACTAGTCTTTTTGTTTGTTTTCTACTTTTAGTACAGATTGGGTCTCTTGCTCAGGCTGGTGTGGAATTGCTGAGCTCAAGCAGTCTCCCTGCCTCTCCTCCCACAGTGCTAGGATTACAGGAGTGAGCCACCACGCCTGGCCTGAGGTGTTTTTTTCTTTTTAAGTCACTAGAATAATTTTTTGTCATTTTAGAGGGTACAGAGGGTTTGGCATAAAATTGAGCACACGAGGAAGACATTGTGGCCGCTCCTCTCACCTCACCCCATCTGGAACTCATTATGCGGAAGTTGTCATTGAAGAGGTCCAGGAGCCTCAAGAACTCCGAGTCTCCATAGCTATAGCGTTTCCCAAAGACCACAGAACAGATAACATTGGATACAGCATTACTCAGTAGCCGCCTGGGGTCGAACGGGGTTCCTGGAGGGGAAGGAGTGGCAACAGGGCGGGGTTTTAACGATGTGGTCGCGTTCCCAACTAGCTCTTTGGGCTTATTGCCTTTGTTCTACCCAAACGCCTTCCCGTGGCCTCTCTGGGCAGGCCATTGGCCACATCCACACCAGGCCCTTCTGTTTCCAGGCTAGGTCGCACCAATGGTGGCTTGAAATTCATTAAGCAGGCAAGAAGCCTCCTCCAGGATTTGCTCCTCGATGGTCTGCGTGCCCAAACCGAACTCTTTCAGCGCTCCAAGTGCAAAATTGCGCAGCGCTCCCCAGAGCGGTCCATTAGAAAACACGATGCCTACGGTGGGGATAGAAAAGAAGGTGGGCCGGGGAAGTTGGCCACACCCCACTCAGGAAGCTCCAGTTACTATCTCCGCCCCTTTCGGTGCCTTCAACTCCTGGAAACGACTTTTCTCTTTTACCAGACCACTTGGTTGCCCTTCTCGACCCGGTCCACACGTTGACCTCTGCCTCTGTTGGTCCAGGTCTCTGGCCTGTGCTTGCTCCCTTTGGCTTCGACTTCTAGGCTTTTCTCTCCTATTGGCTGCACGATGAACCTCGGTACGGCCTACATTTTAGCTCCGCCCCACTCTCTTGGCTATTTGCCCGGGTTATCTGAATTCTCTATTAGGCCCCGCCCCATTTTCCTGCTCCAACTTTTATCTGCCCAACCTGGTTCAGTCCCCCACTCCAGCGCCCGGGCCTCACCGTTTCCGTGTGTGAAGCGTTCGAAGACCGGCATGGCCCCGCGGCCAGAGAAGGTATCCGCCTGTAGCACTAATGCGTCCCGCAGCGCTGCGTAGCCGCAGAGCACCACTGCAGGGCGCCGGCCCAGCCTTACGGTGAACACCGAGCCCCAGTGGCGGGAGAGCTACGGGGAGCAGGTCGGTGCTCAGCGGTCCCGGTCCTCCCTGCTAATCCGAGCCCCAGCCCCCAGCTGCCTCCTTTAGGCTCAGGGAGTCCCAGGCTCAGCCCCTTATTCCTCAGGTTCAGGAGTTCAGACCTCTAGTTCCTTTCTCCTTCAGACCCAGAAGTCCAAGTCCCCACTTACCTCCTTCCTCGGAGTGAAGAAATTTATGACCGCAGTCTCTGATTCTCACTCCCCACTTTTTTTTTTTTTGAGACGGTCTCGCTATACCGTCCCCCCACCCCCTCGGTAGGTGCTGTGCCCTCACAGCTCCCAGTAACCTCAACCTTTTGGGCTTAAGCGATGCTCTTGCCTCAGCCTCCCAAGTAGCTGGGACTACAGGCGCCCGCCACAACGCCCGGCTATTTTGTTTGTTTGTTTTGTTTTTGTTACAGTTGTCATTGTTGTTTAGCAAGCCCGGGCTGGGTTCGAATCCTCCACTCCAGGAGTATGTGGCTGGCGCCCTAGCCGTTGAGCTACAGGTGCCGAACCGCACTCCCCCCTTTGAACCTTGAAAGTAGACCCTCTGTTCCCCACCCCAGGTCCTCCTCCCTCACAACCCAGGGTGTCCAGGCCCTCTACTTCCCATAGGAGGCAGGACCCCTCAATCCTTCCTTGGGAGTCACTTGGTCTGAACCCTCAGCTGTCTTCATTCAGGGAACCAAGAGCTCTAGCCCTAAGCCCCATCTCCACGATTGCGGAATTTTATTCTTCCACTCATGGTCAGGCCTACCTCCATGAGCGCACGGTCCAGGTGTCGGGCTTCAGCTGCAGCAAGTTCCCCAACAACGGGAGCGGCCTGGGCCCGGGGGGCAGAGCCCCCCTCATCTGAGTGCAGCGCGCACCCCAACTCCACCATGCTAATGCCAGCACCAGGAGCGGCAACAGCAGAGCTGCTGCTATTCCCGTGATCATTGTGTCTGCGATTCTGATGCCTGTGTCCCTTCACCTCTATTTGATTTCCTTTGAGTCTTGGGTGGAGCAGGGGTGGAGATCTGATGTGGGAGGAGTGGCATCTTCCCGGCTGCTCGCTCCATAGATTCCCCAACCCAAAGTCGCGCTGTAGCAGAACTAAGCCTGGCTCCTTCTGGCTTTTTCTGTGGCTGTCTCAGTTTGCTCTCTTTGACAACTTTCATACACCAGGATTTTTTTTTTTTTTTAGACAGTCTTACTTTGTCATTCTTGGTAGAGTGGGGTGGCGTCATATCTCACCGTAACCTCAGACTCTTGGGCTCAGGGGATCCTCTTGCCTCAACCTCCCAAGTAGGTGAGACTATAGATGCCCACCACAATCCCATCTGTTTTTAGAGACGTGTCTCCCTCTTGGTGGGGCTGGTCTCCAATTCCTGAGCTCAGGCAATCTACCTGCCTCAGCCTCCCAGAATGCTAGGATTACAGGCTGAGCCACTGTACTCAGTCATGTCAATACACCTGGACAACAAGCACACCTTCCTAAGCTCCTAGCACCTTTGGTTTCATCTTACTTGGATTGTAAATGTGTATTCCTCAATCTCTCAGCAATCTCTGGGCTCCCTGAGTGCTGTATCCTCTATCTCTGATTCCTAAATATACTCCTGACTCCTAAGTACACTTCTTTTTTTGTTGTTGTTTGTTTGAAAATTTTTTTAAAATTACAAAATATTAAGTGGGTACAAGTGTTTTTGTTACACAGGTGAATTTTTTAATGTTGAAGTCGTGGCTTTTAGTGTGCTTGCCACTAGGATAGTGTTCATTGTACCTGATAGGTAAGTTTTTTTCTCTCCCCTCCCTCCTTGTTTCCAGTGTCCTTAACACCTCTATGTTCCTGTTTGTACCCATCATTTAGCTCCCACTTATTAATAAGAACATGTGGTATTTGTTTTTCCATTCCTGGGATACTTCACTCAAGATAATGGTCTCCAGTTCCATCCAAGTTGCTGCAAAAGCTATTTCCTTTTGTGACTGAGTGGTATTTCATGTAATGTATGTATACCACATTTTCTTTACACATTCATCACTGAAGTTGTTTCCATATCTTTGTAATTGGGAATTGTGCTGTGATGAACATTTGAGTGTAGGTGTCTTTTTTTTTAGAGACAGTCTCACTCTGTTGCCCTTGGTAGAGTGCTGTGGCATCACAGCTCACAGCAACCTCCAGTTCCTGGGCTTAGGCAATTCTCTTGCCTTAGCCTCCCAAGTAGCTGGGACTATAGGCACCTGCCACAACACCCAGCTATTTTTTTGTTGCAGTTTGGCTGGGGTTGGGTTTGAAACTGTTACCCTCGGTATATGGGGCTGGCGCCCTACTCACTGAGCCACAGGCACCGCCTGAGTATAGGTGTCTTTTTGATAAAATGAATTATTTTCCCCAGGGTAGCACCTAATAGTGGGGTTGTTGATGAAAGGGCAAGTCTACTTTTATTTCTTTGAAGAATCTCCTATATACATTTCTGACCCCTGACAGTGCCTGTGATTCTTTGGGACTCATACCTGAGCCCTTGTCACTTCCATTGTTCTTGAACTTTGTATGCTGTACCTGTCCCCCAGATCCTCCCTGAAATCCCTTACCTTCCTGGTGGCCACAAACTGGGCATGTCTATGCCTACACTTAAGACTTCTGAGTCTGGCTGGGCACAGTGGCTTACACCTATAATCCTAGAACTCTGGGAGGCCAAGGTGGGTGGACTGCTTGAGCTCAGGAGTTTGAGACCAGCCTGAACAAAAGCAAGACCCTGTCTCTACTAAAAATAGAAAAACTGAGGCAAAAGGATCGTTTGAGCCTGAGTTGGAGGTTGCTGTGAGTTATGATGCCACGGCACTCTACCCAGGGTGACAACTTGAGACACTGTCTCAAACAAACAAACAAACAAAGACTTCTGAATCCCTTCCTACTTGTCTCCTGCACCTCCATACTTATGCCGTGCCCTGAACTCCTAACAATCTCTTTTTCCAAGGCTCTGGTTCCTAAATAGTCCCACATGTCCTATGCCATTGCTGCTTTATCCCCTAATGTCTATTTCCCCAAGCTCCCAAGTGGACACTCCTGAGGCTGGGCCATGATATCAGACAAACATATCCCTCATTCTCCCCTCCTCCAGACACACATCCTAGAGGATCCCAGGCTGGACAGGGCAGACTCAGGCCTGGATGAGCCAGGGGTGGGTAGTGGGAGTGGGGCTAAATTAGTGCTTGGAACAGACTGTTCAGGAATGTGGTCCACCCTCCTGCTGGCCCTCCCTGGCCAGATCCAGCCCTCCTCCAAGTGCTTGGCCCAGGGCCTGGACCTGGGGAGAAGGTGGGGGATTGTGTAGAATCTTGGACTAGAATTTTCTCTGGGAGTGTCATTCAGTGTCTCTGCCTTTGTTTCATCTCTGTGCCTCCCTCACTCTTGATCTCTGTGTTTCTCTATTCATCTCTCTCTCCTTCTTCCCCTAACCCCACTTTTTCTTTGTCTCTTTTTCTCTCAGGTTCTGCCTCTGGTCCTTTCTTTTTTTCAAAATGTCTGTCTCTTTCTCTCTCTGTATCTCTTCCAGTCTGTCTTTTCTATAATCTCTGTCTGCTTCTCTGTTTCCCTGTCTCTGTCTCTGCCAAGAGTCTTCCTACCTGTCAGCCTTTCCCTGTTCAGTAAGCCACGCCCTCCCTGGACCTCACCCCTCTGTGCCAGGCTATCTGATGGACCCTCTATTAGGATCTCTGGCTTCCTCTCCAACTCCCAGCTCTTCCTTATTCCATTTTGCTTTTTGGGCTCACCTCTCTGGAATCCCAGCTCCTCAAGGCATTGTCTTGTTCACTTTGGTATCCCCAGCACTTAGAATAGTGCTTGCTTGACATACAGTAAATATTTGTTGAATGAATGCCACACCTCTGTTCCTCCCTATTTCTGTCTCTGTTTCTCTTTGTCTTTAATTGCCACTTAATTTCCCTGTTTCTGTTAGTCTCTCTTTTTATCTCAGGTTTTTCTCTCTTCATCTCTGTACCCCCCCCACCTCTCTTTTTTTTTTTGAGACAGTCTCAAGCTGTTACCCTGGGTAGAGTGCTATGCTGTCACACCTCCCAGCAACCTTAAACTCTTGGGCTTAAGTGATTGTCTTGCCTAAGCCTCCCAAGTAGCTGGGACTACAGGTGTCTGCCACAACACCTGGCTTTTTTTGTTGTTGTTGTTGCAGTTTGGCCGGGGCCAGGTTCGAACCCACCACCCTCGGTATATGGGGCTGGTGCCCTACCCACTGAGCCATAGGCACTGCCCAATTTTAGAATCTCCTTGTCTTTCCTCTCTCTGGGCCTTCCTGTCTCTCTTTGCTCAGTGTTTCTGTTTCTCCTCCTCTGCCTCTTTCTTTCTGGCTCACTCCCAGTCTTTGTTTTTCAGGCTCTCTCCCTGTCATCTCTGTGTATCCCTTTGTCTCTTCCTGTTTCTCTCCATTTCTTTTTCAGTGTCTCCATGTATCTTTCTTCACCGACTCCCCTCTTGTCTTTCTCAGGACCTCTAAGTCTCTCTCTCTCTCTTACCCTCTACCTCCATGTCCCTGGCCATGCCTGGGAGCAGACTGTGGTCAGCCTGTTGTGGAAACTGAAGATTAGGGAGCTGACTCCTTTATCCCTATGTGGGGACTGCCTATAACCCTCATCCCAGTCAGACCCATGCTCTCAGTAGAGCTTGTCCCAGCTTCTGGATGGCCTTGGGGGGGCTCCATCTATGGCTGGGGACCAACCCCATGCTACTTGAATCTGGCTCAGTGCAGCTTGGGATGTTGGCCCAGTAAGAAAAGCTACTGGCAGCAGGTTAGGGTGTTAGGTCTGGTCCCAGGAAGCTCCAAGCCTGGGATTGCCGTCCCCTCCCTCCCCAAAGGGAGGAATGCAGGACAAAGGAATAGTCCAGCCAGAGAGGTGAAGGAAGAGTCCTCAGTCTTCTGTATCTCTCACATTCATTTCCCATTCTCTCTTTCTCTGGTCATTTCTGTTTCTTTCCTTTCTCTTTTTTCTATCTCCCCATTTCTCAGTCTCTGTATCTCTCTGCTTTTCTCTGACACTGACTTGTGAATTGAAAGGTGGTGGTTAACAGTGTAGTGTCTGGAGCCAGGGAGTCTTTGCTCAGATCCCAGCTCCACCTGTTTTGGTCTATGTGATTTGGGGCAAGTCAGTTCACCTCTCTGAGCCTTAGTTTGCTCATCTGTAAAAATGTGATACTAATACTGCTTTGCTCCTAGGGAGAATTAATTGAGGCTTTAGAACAGTGAGCACATGTGAGTAGCAGTGATTATTTCTTAGTCTCTCACTTTCTCCCTGCTTATATCCCTCTTTGTATAGCTCCCTGAATCTCCTGCAGACTCCCTGTTTGCTATCTCTGGGCAGCTGTCTTTTTCCCTGTCTTGGTTTCTTTGTCTTTTTGTCCTCAGGCTGTTTCCTGGAAACAACTTTTCCCATTCCAGCTGCCCTAAGGGAGAACCAGGCACAGGTAGGTGTCTCCCCTCTCTGCAGCCAGAGTTCCTGTCTCCTCATACTGTAAGAGGACAGTCCGCTTTAATTAAGCGGAGACAAATTTGAATCTGTTATAAAGATAATTTGCTAAGAAGCAATACAAAAAGCCCAGTAAAGGGTGTGTCATCGATCAAGTTCTGTAGGGACAAGGCAAAGACATCCCCATGTCTTTCTCTCTGCCCTGCAGCTGGGGGGGGGTGGTGGGGGGGAAATGGGCACGCAGCAGGGGTGCAGAGACGAACGTGTGCCAGCGAGAGGGAGAGGGCAGGCAGTGGGCCGAGAAGAGGGACAGAGCGGTCTCTAGCAGCGATCCTCACAGCTCACAGGCCAATCTAAAAGGCAGGGGCATCAGCGCTCGTGCAAGCACTGCTGGTAGGGCCGCGGCAAATTGTCTGGGGAGCAGCCGATCTGGCCCAGATCGATGTCCTCGGGCGCCCCCAGTGGCTGCAGGGAGAAGCTCTGCAGGATGGCGGAGAGGTAGAGGAAGAGCTCCACGCACGTCGGCGGTTCGCCGCCCTGCGGCAGTGGAGTAGGGGAGCGGACGGAAAATAAGATGAAGGGCTGCCACCCCAAGTTCCTAGAGAAAAACAGATTATGAAGACAACAGCTGGGAATGCCAAAAAGCCACCCATTTAAAGGTCCAGGAGGTAGTCCAGGTCAGAAATGGCGGCGGCTGCGTTCAGGCTTTCTGGGCTGTTGGGTGGGTCCCGGGTCCCGCCCACAGCTGGGGCGGCCCAAGTCGAGTGGCGCCCACGGCGAGGAGGGCTCAGCTCGCATGAGGAGGGCCCTCACCTTCTTCGTCGCCCTTCCCGGGGTGGGAGTGAGTATGCTGAATGTCTTCTTGAAATCCCGCCACGGAGAACACGAGAGACCTGAGTTCATCCCTTACTCCCATCTTCGCATCAGGACCAAGCCCTTTCCCTGGGGAGATGGTAACCATACTCTATTCCACAACCCTCACGTGAATCCACTTCCAACTGGTTATGAAGATGAATAAAGAGAACCTAGACCACTACCCAGACATTGGGGACCACAGCATCAGTTTGGACCATTACTCTGCACATGGACCAGAGAAAGTGTATGGGACCTTAAGCTCACCTTCTTTTATCATATGATTACCAGTCTTCCATCCCTTTACTTGTGGCGGGAGATGGCTTAAATAAATAAACTAAGATTGGTCATAAGCTGAAAATTAAAAAAAATAAAAATAAAAAAAATAAAGGTCCAGGAAAGCTGCTTTAAGTAAATTGTGGAGCAAAAAATCTTGGTTGATGGAAGTGTGTGACTGGGTTCCAATCCTGGGTTTGTCACAACTAGTTTTGTGATCTTGGGCAAGCCACAATTTCAGGGTATTTAAAATGGGCATGGTAATATTGCCACATGAGGCTGTTGTGAATAGTGAATAGAGGAAAAACAGTGAGAATATAACCCTTATGTAGCGCTTACTACATGCCATGCATTACTCTAAGTGCTATGGCACTATTTGTTTGTTTGTTTTTTGAGACAGAGTCTCACTTTGTCACCCTCGGTGCTGTTGTGTCATAGCTCACAGCAACCTCAAACTCTTTGGCTTAAGTGATTCTCTTTCTTCAACATCTCAAGTAGCTGGGACTACAGGCGCCTGCCACACCACAACACTGGGGTATTTTTAGAGAAGGGGCCTCGCTCTGGCTCAGGCTAGTCTCGAACTCCTGAGCTCAAGCAATCCACTCGCCTTGGCCTCCCAGAATGCTAGGATTACAGGTGTAAGCCACCTTGCTCAGTCTTACACTGCTATTAATTTAACCCTCCTAAAAACTACAACCCCAAAAGGTGGGCCTTAGTATTATCTCCATTTTACAAATGTGGATTTTTTTTTGAAACAGAGTCTTAATTTGTCACCCTTGGAGTGTGGTGGCATCATAGCTCACAGCAACCTCAAATTCTTGGGCTTAAGTGTTCTCTTGCCTCAGCTTCCCAGATGCCCATCACAATGCCTGGCTCTTTTTTTTAAGAGACAGGGTCTTTGCTCTTGCTCAGGCTGGTCTCAAACTCATGAACTCAAGCAGTCTGGCTGCTTTGGCGTCCCAGAGTGTGATTTTTTTTTTCAAGACAGAGTGTCACCCAAGCTGGAATGCTGTGGCACAATCATGCTTCCCTGTAACCTTGAACTCCTGGGCTTAAGTAATCCTCCCACTTCAGCCTCCTGAGTAACTGGGACTACAGGTGGGGGCCACCACAATGCCTGGCTACTACTTCCTATTTTTTAAGAGATAGGGTTGCCCAGCTGGTCTTGAACTGCTGTCCTTAAGATATCTTCCCACTTCAGCCTCCCAAGTCTCTGGGATTAAAGGTATGAGCTACCACATCTGGCTAGACATGGAAACTGAGGCACAGATAAGTGAAGTAATATATCCAAGGTCACACAGGAGGTGATAGAGCTGGGCTACAACCCCTGGGCTGCAGCTTCAGAGCCCAGCTCTTTTTTTTTTAGACAGAGTCTCACTTTGTTGCTCTCAGTAGAGTGCATGGCATCACAGCTCAGAGCAACCTCCATCTGTTGGGCTTAGGTGATTCTCTTGCCTCAGCCTCCCAAGTAGCTGGGACTATAGGCACCTGCCACAATGCCTGGCTATTGGTTGCAGTTTGGTTGGGGTCAGGTTCGAACCCTCCACCTTCGGTATTTGGGGCCAGTGCCCTGCTCACTGAGCCACAGGTGCCACCTGAGCCCATTCTTAGTAACTATCCTTATTGCTCTTCTCAGAGGCATTGCTGGGCACACAGGAGACAATATGATAAGTTACCTATTATTATACTGTTTTTTCCCCCTGCTTTTGCATAAAGAGAGAAGATTTGTTTTCAGCAGGGCAAAGAGATAAGGCAAGAACTGGGCTGCGCAGCAGAAAAAGGTAGCCATCTGTGCTGAGGGTGATTCAAGGCAGCAGAACTGATTGCCAATTCAGTGGCCACGGCGGGTGATGGCCTGATCCAACTCCACAAGCTGGAGGCTGCAGAGGACATTGCATAACAGCTCATCACCTACCTGCCAGTGGGGCAGTCTGTGCTCCTCCAGCTGCCTCAGTGAGGGCCTGTCCTACCTGTACTCCTCAGGCCAGCTGGGTCAAAGCCCTGATGATGATTAACACCATCGCCCTTTTGCCCCCACCCAAAAATCACTGTGAAATCTCATGATTGACTTAAAGTGAAGGAAATAAAACTAAAATCACTTCAAAAAAAGAAGGAAAGAAAGGCAAGAACTGAGTGGAGAGGCTGACAATGACCACTCCCAAGTTAAATTATTAATCTGCCTCCACATCTCCCTCCATGAGGATTTTAGTCACTACTTGCCTATAGGAGTGGAGTTGTGGTGGGGGGATGAGTGTCTCTGTGCATCAAAGGCTGAGGATGGATGAGATGAAGAAGTGAGAGGATTTGGAAAGTGAAACTAGGACTGGGGGATCAGAACTAGGTAGGAATATGGCACCAGAATGACTCTGAGCCCTGTCTTCACCAGCTGAGAAGGTCGTGAAGGCTGGGCTCTTCGACTGATTGGCATCCAAAAATGCTCCAGGTTGAACTCAGGTGTCAGATAGACAGTGACTCAGAGGTCATAGTGGACAGTGTTAAGGAGGGTGATTATATCTGTGCTCTGCGTGCTGAGGAGGCAGAATTAGTGATGAAATGCTGGGAGGCTTCTGAGCTAGGACTTGCATTTTACAGGGCTCAGGGGGCCTGGGGACTTGATAAGGGGGATGGATGGGCACCCAGGGATGGATGGACTGGATTAGGCACCCAGGAAATGTGTGTGGGTACCTAGTGTTCTGAGTGGTGAACACTGGAAGTTGTGTGGCCAGGGTCTGAGATAGGGATGTGAAACACACACACCCTCATCCCCCATCTTGTGGGAACAGATGTGGGGCTTCTGGGAAGGGAGCCAGGTCTCTGAGAATAGTGTTTGGATACAGTGGATTCTCAAGGTAAAGTCCCAGACCCTGAGGGATTCTGGAGAGGGGTCCTAAGAAGGAGACTTGTCATGGAGAAGGGGTATGGGGTTCTAGATTGGGTGCAGTCCACTATGGCATGGGATGGGGTCCTGAGAGAGGACTGAGATTCTGGATTTAAGGGCCTCAGATCTCTCTAGCTAGGGCTGGGGATGATGGTTGCTAAGGCCCTGGAAATTAATTGGTGCCTCAGATACCCCTTGCCAACCAGAAGAACCTGAGATGCCTCATTTTAGGTTTCCTGATGTCGTTTTCCAGGTGCCTAGCACACCTTGGGTAGCAGGAAGCTGTGAAAGTTGGTGTCCTGAGTGACGCGATGTGGCAAGTTCATGGGGATGAGGTCTGCAAAGTACTACACCTCATGAATCACCACTTCTGTATAAGGCACGGCCAGCGGTCGTCTGGCGCAGGCACCCTTTCCTGTCCCACTACCTGGTCCATCTCCTGCACGCCCGCTAGAGGAGGAAGGGGTATCTCTGAGACTGGGCTGGGAAGAGCTGTGCTCTTGCATGTGGGAGGGGTCTAGTCAGAGCCTCCAAGTGGGGTCTCAGACTGGGTGAGGGCAAAAGGTTGGTCTGCACACAAGTTCCTAAGGGCGGGGTGGGGGGCAGGGTTTCAGGCGGATCCCGCGTCTAAGCCCTCGACAGGATTTAGATGGCGGCCCGGCCGGATGGAGTGGACAGGCTGTGCTGGAAGTCTTGGGAAGAGAGCAGGGCTGCGGAAGAGGGCAGAGCTGGAGATGCATCCAGAGGCGGAACTTGGGGGAGAGGGGTCGCAGACGATGCTCTGTGGAGGGGCAGACTGTGTGGGAGAGGTTGGGTTCCTGGGCAGGCCTCGTGGCTGGCTGGGGAGGCCCCAAGCAGACAGAGACAGGCGCAGTGTGCGCGGGGCGGGCGTGGGCCCCAAAGGAAGACAAAGCGCGCCCGCCTGCCTCGGGTCTGGATTCCCGCAGCTTGCCGGAATGTGGGTGGGATCGCCCCCCTGATGGGTATGTAGGTTTGGCTGTGGGACCAAGCGTCAACGAGAGGCTCTATCAGAAGTGCTAGGCTGGACTGGAAGTGGAGCTTTGGCTCCTTGTTTAGGGGCCAGAGGCTGGAACGCCCAGGCGCGGAGGTCCTGCGGTGGCGCAGTGTAGAAGGCTCTCCCGGCTAGGCTAAGGCTGGCTTACCTTGTATTTTAGCGGACTTCATGAACACAAGAAAGGTGTGGCGCAGGGTGGTGCCCACAGTCTTGGTGCTGCCTGAGAGCAGGTTTAGTATGGTCATCAACAGGGTGTCCAAGCGGAAGTGGCTCAGCGGGTCCTGCTTCTCCTGCCGGGGTGATGGATGAGGGGTATGAACCAGGGCTCTGAAACTTCAGAGCGTTCACCCCAGACCTGCACAGCTGATACTGGGTTCCAGCCAGTTCATGCCCTTCTATCTAACTTTCTTTGGGGCAGCTGGGGAGCAGGGAAGGGCAGGGTAAGAAAAATCTCAGCTTCAGGGCCCACAATTAACATCCCAGATGAAGCTTTCTCTCTCTCTCTCTCTCTCTCTCTCTCTCTGAGACAGAGTCTCACTTTGTCACTCTGGGTAGAGTGTGGTGGCATCACAGCTCCCAGCAACCTCAAACTCTTGGGCTCAAAGTGATGCTCTTGCCTCAGCCTCTCAAGTAGCTGGAACTACTGGCTCCTGACACAATGCCTGGAGATATATATATATATATATATATATTTTTTTAAAGACACAGGGTCTCGCTCTTGCTCAGGCTGGTCTCAAATTCCTGAGCTCAAGCAGTCCACTCATCTTGGCCTCCCAGAGTGCTAGGATTACAAGCGTGAGCCACCGCACTGGGCCATAGATAGACAGACCATTTTCTTTTAGAGACAAAAGTTTCACTATGTCGCCCTAGGTAGAGTGCTGTGGCGTCACAGCTTACAGCAACCTCAAATTTGGGGGCTTAAATGATTCTCTTGCCTCAGCCTCCCAAGTAGCTGGGACAACAGGCGTCCACCAGAATGCCCGGCTATTTTTTTGTTGTAGTTGTTTAGCTGGCCCGGGCTTGGTTTGAACCCACTACCCTTGGTGTATGTGGCTGGCACCATAACCACTGTGCTATGGGTGCTAAGCCTGGATAGAGCTTTAATGACTTTTTTTCCCTTGGAGATAGGATCTCTTTTGCCCAAGCATGCTATGGTATCATAGCTCACAGCAACTTCAAACTTCTGGGCTCAAGCAATTGTCTTACCTCAGTCTCCCAAGGAGCTAGGACTACAGGCATGAGCTACCACCCCTAGGTAATTTTTCTATTTTTAGGACAGAAAGAGTCTCACTTTGCTCAGGCTAGTCTCAAACTCCTGACCTCAAGCAATTCTCCTGGCTTGGCTTCTCAGAATGCTAGGATTACAGGCATGGGCTTTAATGACTTCTGTTTTTCTTTTGAGACTGTCTCACTTTGTTGCCCCCAGTAGAGTGCTGTGGTGTCATAGCTCACAGCAACCTTTAACTCTTGGGCTCAAGCCATTCTCTTACCTCAGCCTCCTGAGTAGATGGGACTACAGGCATCTGCCACAATGCCCGGCTATTTTTAGAGATGGTGGGGGGGGGGTCTTGCTCTAG